AGGGACAGATCACTTCAGCCCCACCTTGGTTGAGGCTGAGGTAAGACAATTTATGATTGGCACATTTATATGGCTGGAAATGGCCCTCACAGAGTTAAATTTTGAATTTTACCATTTTATTTTGTGCCTCCATTTTATTTTGTGCCTCAATTTTATGACAATTTTGAAAAATGTAGGGGGCCCAGGCTGGCAGGACACCTTCAATCACTGTTAGGAATACTGTAAATTATCATGATGTATGTCCTACATTCGATGACAGACACATTATGCTGTTATGTATCAACAAAACCCTTTGGGTCAGGGTGCTGAAATGAGGTCGAGGACTCTAGTGCACCTTGCGGGGCCTCTAGGGTTCGGGGGCCCTGCGGATTGACCGCCTCACAAGAGCGCATACTGCCAGACAGTGCAATACTTTGAGGGAATGGCCACTCCTCACAGCGAGTCTGTTAACCTTCCCACCATATACCGGTACCCATTTATACTCCTCCGGGTAGAGAGAGACAAATGCAGGTGAAGTGTATTGCCCAAGGATGTAAGGGACTAGCACAGCGAGAGTTTCAAACCCCCAACCATAAGGTTGAGATTCTGATCCACAACTGCTGCGTCAAATGCTAAATGGTATCATGCACATAGTGTTGTAAAGGAGATTAGTTTAAATGTTCGAAGGAAGAAATAGAGAAATGCTGTTTATATTTTAAAAGAGTGGTTTGTAAAGGATGGATTGTAGCACCAAAAAAAAAAAAGAAAAAAAAAATTTCAAAAATCTTTGGATTTGGTGTATAGAGCAAGATACATTTGCATTTTACAAGATGGTTTGAGAGTACATCCAAAAATGTAATGTACAAATTTTGTAAAAGCAGTTTCTTAAAGAAAATTCTTTTGAATCAAAGTAAGGATATTAATAGAATTAGATGTTTATACTGTATCAGACGAAACTATGCCATATCGCAAAGGGATATAAACATTCCATCACACATCATGTTGTGCAGCGTTATTTAATGATTTGAGGTCAGAGGTGATTGGTTGATTCTCTGGCCTGTAAACTTATGGAAACATCTGGTGAATCATAGAATGTTTTTGACATAAACCACACAGTGGAGGGCTTATGAGATTCTCTTGATTGAATAAATTCAAGAACCAATATACTGTAAATTGGCATCAATTTTGTCTCTTAAGCTTAGAATACAAATCATTAAAGATGACGTCTCTCTTAAAAAATCCTATGACTCAATCATTCAAGTTTAAAGTATTTATAACACAATACCTTTGTGTCACTCTCATCGCATGCATTTAATCACATTAATGATCAAATAAAACCTTAAGTTTGCTAAACTGGAAAAGTCTCAATAACAGGAAATATTGTTATATGTTACACTTTTAAATGCCTTCAAGTAATAACTTAAGCTTATGGTTTTCTCTGAAATGAAATGTTTCTCTTGGTCAGACAGATCTAGTTATAATTTGATAGTAAAGTAAAGTATCTTGGCATAGTCACATTGAATGCTAAATGATCTTAGAAATGATAAGATAATATGCGACAATGTTGCTCTTCTTGTACCATTATGGTCCAGTTATTTTAAACATACCTTTTTTTTTTATCAAATAAATCTTTATTGCAATCATAAAACAATAGTAGTGATTGGAATACAAAATATAAAACAGTACTAGAAAAAGAGGCAATATTAATAAATTTCAATAGAGAAAATAAAAGCATTGTGAAAATTTAATTAATATATTATTATTATTATTATTATTATTATTATTATTATTATTATTATTATTATTATATTATTATTATTTAATCTAATTATTAATTTAATTTATGAATTATTATTAAAAATTACTCTTAAATTATATTTTAAGTAACATCAAATATTGCACAAAGGAATACAGATAAAAATTGATTGAGAAAGACAAAAAGGGTTACACTAAACATCAAAAATTACTTTGTAAACATAAATAAGCTTAATTAAAAATACTATTAAAAAACATCAATATGACTTCAAAATTTGCTAAATTAAAAATACCATTAAAAACTTCAATAACGACATCAAAATTTGCTTAATTAAAAAACCATTAAAAACATCAATAAACTTGGATAAGCGGAAAGTGTTTTTCTTGAGAAAATTGTATGTTTGGTATAGTAACAATTTGCAATTGACTACTTAAATTGCCTCACCATAATAGTGGTTCTGTATTTGTTTAAGGTTGCAGTTCACCATGTACAGTAGGTGGTTCTGAAAAAAAGTGTTGTAGTTGAGAAATCTCGACGTTTCAATTGAGTTATACTATCTGCAGAAATTCCAAACAGGGGAAATACTTATACTGTATGTTTGGATAGAGATGCTGGCTGCTGATTGGATGAGTAAACTGACCAATGAGAAGACGGCTAGCAAAAGGCTAAAACAAAAGCCAATGTTCACTGAAAGAAAGGGTGGAAACGCCCAAACAAAGTCTTAGTGCCAGTGGCGGTAAATGGGATAGGGAACGACCAAAAGAAAGGTGGTGGGAAAAAGGGGGTGGAACGACCAAAACAAGGCATAGTTCCAGTGAGGCGGGAAAGGGGGTTGGGAACGACCAAAAGCAAAGGCATAGTTCCAGTGAGGCGGAAAAAGCTGGGGCTGCTTGGCTAGGTCCAATTAAACATGGACAGCCAAATATCGCTAATGATAAATCCAATATCTTGATGTGCTCATAAATTTCTATGCTTTGTCCCAATGTACACAGTGTTGTTGACTGTGGGAGTGCATGACTATAGACGATTTTTGTTGTTCCCTTCCCTGGCATAGCCTTGGTGTTCCTTGAGCCTAGTGTAGAGATCTCGTCCTGTTCCACCAATGTAAACCTTTCCACATTCACACAGGATCCGATAAACTCCTGGCTGACTCTGTGCTGGTGGTTTTTCCCTCTGTGTTTGAAGAGTCCGGAATGGTTGCTTCTTATCAATGAAAAAGGGTAAGCTCGACTTTGGTCAAACCGTATCACTGTTTGCACTTCTGTTTAAATCAGTTAGATGTGTGGTCAGTCTAAGCGTGGATACATTCTATGAAAAGTTCAGCGGTGTTGGTATTATTGGTGTGCACAGACATTTATCCAAGTTGCCCTTTTCTGCTTAGCTATTGAGCATAAACATCATTCACTTGGGTAAACTCACCACATGTCTTTTGGTAAATTGACCAAGTAGAATAATTATATAATAAATGGTTGTTCGCAGGGGTTCCAAGTTGAAGAACTTCATTCGCAGGAGATTTTGACTGGAACCTTTGGCCGCCTACAAATACAATGCGTGTTGCGTTGAAGCCAATACGCAACTACTCATAATATCAAATTACTTGACATTCAATGATCAGAAAACGGTTAAATTGTTAGCTCTTGCTTTTATTTTTATTTACACAATGTAAATTAATACCATGAAATTACATAAATTCTGGAATCTACTATTCTTTAACTTCCCCACCATGAATGAAGGAAGTAATTGACAATTTTTCAAAAACGGGTTTTTTTAGTCACTATCAAAGAACTAATAATTTGGAACATATTGATATATTTGAGTATGTTCAAATCCCACTAATTAACAAGTAATTAGCAACACAAAAAGGAAATAAGAGACTAAAAATACAGTAAAAACCACCAGAAAAGGAAGCAGGGGACAAAATTAACATGCTCCATATTCCTTAATTACTCAAAGCAATGCAAACATCAGTTGCTTCCTTTTGTCATGTTGGGGCAAGTAGGCCTAATCTAATATTATACATTATTCATTTATTTACACTTAGAGGCCTACATCAATATCATTAATTACATCAATTTACTAAAACACTAAACAGTGATGGTAGGGATTCAAATAAACTTATTTGTGATTGTTTTTTAACATCCTGACTCATGTTTTTACCTAGTAGGCCTAGGCTTGATCGTCAAAATTAAGTATTTCAATTTTCAAACATTTACGGGTAGAATTTTTTTCATGCAGTAGAAAAACGTAGGCAATACGGTAGCTCGGTAGGTCTCTAAAAGCAGTAGAATACCGCAAGTAGCAGTAGACTTGGGACCTCTGTATTCGTGAAGATTAAACCCTGATATTTTTCATTCACATGACCAGGTACATTGCTCATTTGACAACATTAATTCTATGCAAAAACGCTTTAGGCTTTGATGTCGTAAAGGGTTTCTGCTATCCATTGGAATGTTGTAACTTTTAATTCTCATTTATTTTTTACAAGCCTCCTGTGCCTTGGTTGTAATTGTAGGAGACAAGTTCTTGCATCTGCTAGGATTACATGAACATAATAAAAACCTATGAAAGCACCTAATACCAAAAAATATGCTGCAGCTCAATCATAAATATTAATTCAGCATGAAAAGTAAACCCCCCCCCCCTTAGTTATGAGTACTCTACTTTGGAATTCATTACAACATGTATTAGGGTGGGAATTTTGTTGAGGATATCAAGTATAAGTTCTATCGGACATGTGTTGCAATTTTTAAATTTATTTTTTAAACAATATGTGATCTTTGCAATTTAATTTGATTTTTCATATCTTTATTTTGAAATCACATATTCTTAGAGGAAAGGAACAAACAGAATATCCAATGGAAAAAGTAATTAAATTTTTAAAAAGCAGTTACTGTACTATTCTTACAGTCTACACTTAAACGTAATGCTTTTGGCTTAATTTTTGTATTATTGGTAGGGAGGGACAGGTAAAGGATCTATAAACCTGAGCCCCACCATGGTTGGGGCTGAGGTAAGATAATTTATGATTATGTCACCTGTAGATGGTCGGAAATGGCACTCTCAGACTTAAAATTTTATGTAATTTTCTTTTTTCTCCGAATTTTTACAATTTGGAAAAATTTAAGTGGGATGGGGTGTGGGCCAGCGGGGGCCCCCTTGAATTTGCCACTATTACCAGACCTGAGATATTCATCCATACCATAGTAATTCATCTAATCATTGTTATTAGTAGAACTTTAATTATGAAATATTTTTGGTTTTTCAGTGGATGAGAAAAATGTGGAAAACAGACAAGTGTTATGCAGATTTTGGTGTAAATGGGACACAATGTTCATTCATTATATATCTAAGTGAGGTAAGAATTTTTGAAATTTAATTTACAATTATTATTATTGTGAGATTTTGTATCAAGTATGTTAAAGTCACTAGTGAGTATGAATGGTCTAAGCCACTGTACTCTCACTGCATACTATCAAAACAGAGGACAGGAGAGAAAAAATGGTGTCAAATTCAGGATTTCTGCTTCTTTACTTTAAAACTTTTTTTATACCTTGTTTCACGAACTTATTTTTTCAGAGGAGGACGGGAAAACAATAAAAGTAAAATTTTGTTTTCTTACAAAATGGTTTTGCCAAAAACATCCAGATGGAAGAGAAAATAAAATTAAATGTTATTGTTGAATGTAAGCAGTTGAGTAATGGGATAATTAAATGCTTTAAATTTATGTAATTAGGAAGAAAATCTTATTTTTGTAGATTTCAAGGCAACAGCAGGCATAATAAGAATAAAGAAAAACTTATTTTTTTCTGGAAATCCTGTTTTCTTTTCATTCAAATCATTAAACCGGTAAATCTGTATGGGGCAGAAACATGGAGAACCACCGTAATCATAACTAGAAGAATCCAGACATTTATAAACTCTTGCTTACGAAAAATATTAAGAATATGGTACCCAGATGGGATCAGCAACCAGGAGTTATGGGCAAGGACAAGTCAGCAGCCCATAGAACAAGAAATACTACAGAGACGCTGGCGATGGCTAGGACACACCCTCCGAAAACCAACCAAAAACATCACAAGGTCAGCACTCTGCTGGAACCCTCAAGGCAAAAGGAAACAGGGCCATCCAAGAAATACCTGGCGACGGGACCTAGAAGCTGATGTCCAGAGGTTGGGTTATACTTGGAGGGAAGTGGAGATACTGGCACAGGACCGGTCTGGTTGGAGAAATCTTGTTGGTGGCCTATGTCCCAGGAGGGACGATATGCATAATGAATGATGATGTTTTCTTTTTGTGATGGCGGTTGCCAAAAATATAGGGAGGGACTTCCACAGATAGAATGGCCACCCACCTCAGCCCCACCATGGTTGGGTCTGAGGCAGAAATAAAATATGATATAGTGGCACCTCTAAATGGCCAGAAGTTGCATTCTCAGACTTAAATTTTAATATAATTTTTTTTTTTTTTTTTATAATTTTGAAAAATTTGAATCTGCCACTGACATTGAATCAGTGTAGAAAGATTTCCTCGTCCCTGTTATTTTTGTATGATTTATGTAATGTGTATTGTTAATGGTGTGTTCATAAACACACAATCCATCAGTGTGTCAAATGTAACAGATGTTTATTTTTAAATTTTACTGCAGTACACAATGTACTGTGTGTTATCTTGTTTAATTTATATTACTATTATTAGATGATTACTATTTGATATATCATCCATCTCCTATTAGTATCTTGCATTTGATGAGACACCTGTTTAACGAGTAGAATTGAAAATGATAAGATTACTTTTACAGGCATAAGTCAGTACCCTCGCTCATGTTCATCTTCTTCATGTTTTTGCAGCACTAGATTCACTGATCACTTGCTGCACACTATGATTATTTGTGATGGGGGTTTAATAGCAAACTTTAAACTGCTCTTAAATGATCAGGAGGGATGTTAAAATTTATGATAGCTGGTAAATATGATGACAAAGAATTGCATGAAAGTATTATGGTAGTGTACATAGTGCATATTATGTGGTCTCTATGCGCAGTAGAAACAGTCATGGCTTCGATGTGGACTAATGATGTACAGAGATTTAACAAGAGGGGAAAGCAAAAGTTAACAAAAACCTCAAGAGAAATAGAAGTGACTTATTCGTGTACAGTTTCATTGCGCCAATTCAGGCTGATGATGATTGCACACAATGTCGATGGTGCTGTCTGTAGCTACCCCTAGGTACCCACCTGGGAACTTCTATCTGTTATTCTTCTTCTTCCAAATTTAAGGCCAACTTCATAGCTGAAGGCTTTGGCCCGAGCTTCACCAAACAAAGCTAGCATTCTTTTTCGTCTTCTCAATCCCTCCATAACTACGCTTCCCAGAGAATGAAAAGTAGTACTGACCATACAGCCAAAGGGGTCATCTGATAGGTCAAGCCAAATGGATGTTTTGATGTGAACACAAGCTAATTTTAAAGATAATTTCTCAGAAAAATTGTAATTGCTGTGGAAACCCAGCCTTAATGTCATCCATGTTAATTCACTGAATTATTCATCTAATTGTAAATGAGATATTACCTATGGGAAGAGTAATAATGAATGATATTACCAGCAATGCAGATGAAATACACTGGAAGTAATTGACCAAGTGAAGTTCATGCTTAAATATTTATATTTTAAATGATTAGTTTATCCCTCTTGCCCGCATGTTTTCTGTGGTATTAAAAAAAAACATTTGAAAACCTTTTTGTATTTTTTTTTTCATATTTCATATTTTAATAACAAATTAGTAATGTTTGTATTATCTCAATCATGTATTTTACTTTGAATATCAGTGCACCACAAGCAACCCAAAGGTGATATTTGGCTTTTTCAAAATAAAAAATGATAAAATCCTGTACACCACATTAAGAAGTGAAGTCACGATGTGATCGTGTTTGTGTTTAAACAGCAGTAGAATTAGGCCTACAATATGTTTAATTTGATTTTTAGGTAATAAACAACATTTTATGATAATAGTACTGCACAATGAAGACAAATATTAGATAATCATTACGATCTATGCTTTGGTTTAAGCTAGCATCACTGCTACCTATAGTTGCCTATGAAATGACTAGGCCTAGCTAGGTGAAAAAGGTGACGATTGTACACACATCGTACATATGCCTATTTAAAATAATTATTGTACCAACAAATCTGTTTTACAAACTTCGAAATTTCCTTGGTTTGACGACGTACGTCAAATTCAGTTTCTTTTGTAGCCTGTTTCAGTCAAAGTTTTGACTTTCCAAGCAGTTTTTGAAGCAAAGAAATCTAGGCCTAGGTCAGCAAAAAATTGCCGTCCTATGGCAATTCTGACTCGGCAAAATGGTCAGCAAATGTTGATTGTTGACGCAAAATTCATGGGCTGAGTGGATGGCATAAGAGGAAAAAGAAGACCAAAGTTTCCATGGAAAGATATGGTGAAGAAAGAAAGCGGTAAGGGTGGTCTAAATGAGGAGGAAGCACAAGATAGGAAAAGTGGAACATGGGAGTGTCATCATGGCGTAAAAGTCAGTAACCCCTTCGTAAGAGGGGAAATGCTGACTTAAATGATGATGTTTTGTATTTGTAGGTTGATAGGAATGCTATTAATTCTAAGTGTAATGATATTATCAATAACAGACTGTTTAAAGAAAAATTATTACCTACAGATATTGACTATCGTTACAGATACTGAAAACAAATACTGTACAATATTCCGATATTATGGGGAGGGAGGTCAGAATTCCTGTGGCACCGGAGGATTGTCAAAGCTTTAAGCCCGGTAATGGCGGTTATATAGAGAGTTCCAGTATCCTACCCTGGTTATAGCTAGGATGAGAACAGGATATGGCGCAAAGAAATGACGCCCTCAGACTTGCGCTCTCTTTCTCTTTTAATAATTAGGAATTATAATCTTTTAACAACGGTTGATTTCGGATGTTTCTAGGCCATATTGATTAGGACATGTGTGCTTTGATCTCAAAGTAATAGATCTAGGCCTTCATTAAAATCTCAGCGAAATGGTTAAATTGCCTGACAAGACTTCACAATGGAAATTACTTTATGCCTTATTGATGATTTAGATCGAGTTCGTTTATATTGAATAAAAACAACACATGATCAGTTGTGTACTGGATAATAACACTAAATTTTAGTCACATCGTAATAATAGGGGTATTTTGTCCAAGGCCTAGAGCAGTAGAAATCAAGGCTGGTCAATCCTCTATGCCTTTGACAAAATACCCCTATATAATGATGTGTTGTCTGTTTGGAAACACAACCAATTTATTGATCCGGATCTAGATTCAGGTTACAACAACCTATTATGCAAATGCATCCACTATATCGCCCTTAAAAAATTTGTATATAAATTGTTACTTCTCCTTGAGTTTTTTATAGGCTTTTTTAGTCCAGTTAATTGTACAGTATCTCATTTTTTTAAATGTTTAATTTTAAATGTCAGTAATACAATGGATTATTTTAAGACGCATCTGCATTGTGATGAATAATATGCAATTATTATAGTCATGTATAAGTTCTGAGGACCGTGTAGAGCCTGAAGGAGCCAAAATTTCCCAAAAAAAAACTACCTGAAGCCCGTAGGGGTGGAGACAATTTTTGAAGGAAATATTGGCTCATGGCTTCTTTTTTTTTATAGGCTCTGAAATCAAACAGGAGCATAACGAATTACATTATTTACTTAAATGCTGTACATCTGGCATTTTACAATACACTGTGTGACTAATAGGATTCATACATGTGGTGTGGCAGATCCATATTCATTGGGTAATGAATCAATACCTTCATTTATTGTTTTATTCATCATCATACTAATGATCTGACCGTCATATTCAATCCAACTTTTCATTTCAAATGTACATTTCCTCCTCTAATTCGAGGCCACCTTTAAAACCTGAAAATTTGGGGTGGTCTCGGGGTTGTCCTCCATTTACAGAAGGTTAGATTTGTATTAAGGATTGAAGATTGTTAATATTTGGTACTTTGAAGAAGTAATCTCAAATTAGAGTGGTCTCGGAATTAGACAGGTCTCGGAATGAAAGGATTTTAGGAATTACAGGGATCTCGGAAATTAGAGGGGTCTGGGAATTAGAGTAGTCTTCGAAATTAGATGGGTCTCAGAATTTGAGGGTGCACTGTATTTTATCTATGCATGGGTTGGATTATTTCACTTAGTTGTTCAAAATTATTGGATGTAATTTTTTTGTATTATTGTTATATTCAAAGCTTTTAACCAAGTTTTATATATTATCCTTTTTATGATGAATATTTCTACTCAGTTTCCCCAAATTTTGTTGGTAATTTATTGGGTATAGGAGCTAAAAAGGGTACCATATGAAAATTAAAAATTTGCAGATGCTTCAACTACCAGCCAGTTTTTGGTCTATGAAAAGAATGTTGATGGTTAATATGCTTGCCTTGCAATACCACCAGGGTTCAGGCTCAAATCCTATCGGGAGTCATCTCAGAACTACAGTACTGTATGAAACTCCATCCATGATTCCTTATGAAAGCTAAACAATTAGCGTATGATTAATGTATTTGGTAGGGGATTAAATGCATTTTGGTAAGCTATTGAATATCAGAGGGTCACCAAGTATTATTCATTTGTTATCAGTCAAGGAAAATAATTTATCGTTTTCTTTTAAATTTAAAGCTAATTTTCATGCAAATTAGGCAATTGAAATACATGGTATTTAATTAAAAGATTTTTTTGGGTCATTACATACAATTAACATGTACTGAAAGCTATTTATCATGATCATGTTTGTAATTCCATATTTTCAGATTATATTTTGATAACATTATTTACAGTAACTATACTTTGAAGTATTTGTACTGTACAGTAGATATAGTGGCAATTTCACTAGACTGAATAGATAGCCAAAATTGTAAATTTACTACAATTAAGAAAAAAGATGTTTAATTGCACGTTAGTATAAGGAGGTAAAGGCTAACATTATCAGCTTTTTTTTTGTCTTGTAATTTAAAGCCATCTTCTACGGTATGTTCCACTTTAATCGAATACAGTGTTTGTATACACTTACAGTATCAATTTGGTTAATAGCATGGCAAATGCAATTGGACGTGCTTTAGGTAACACTGAGATAGCTCCTTATCCCTGTTGAAATGGTAAATATCTTATGTTCTCGATGTTATCTGTAATGGAGTGCATAAGTTAGAATCACCTAGATTCAAAGCGCGGTGCTGCAACTTACAGCCATAATATCGGCACTGGTTTGAATGGCATGCTTGCCTTCGATTCTGGTAGTGAATAAGTCTTCTCAGATAAGGACCATAGGCTCAGTGTAGTACACAATTTGGCTTGTATGCACTTTAAGGGATCCTGTTAACGTACCTCTTTCGAGATCAATAGGGGGTTGCTCTTTCTACTGGTCCATTTCAGCCCTTGTTGTGGACAAACAATATTAGCTGGTACCAATTTTAACCGGCTAGATCAGACACGATACATGAAGAGACCCTTAGTCGAGAAGCAAGTTACTGTAAGAGCTAGGCCACACCTCAAACGCTTTGAGACCATTTCAGTTTAAAACGCAATATAAATCTAACTATATTTACATTACATTATCTCTTATTGTATATTTCATCCAAAGGTATAATATTTATTCAAAAATATAAAGCATATTTGGCAGTTAGTTAAAGCCTTGTACATAAATAGGGCCTATTGTTTCTGTATAAAGAAAAAGTGTATGATTTTAATATTTTGTCCCTGTTTAAGCCAGATACTCACTGCATCGTACGTCCGTTGCACGACGAATCCAATTCTACTCCCTTTGAATGCTAGACGATGCAACTCCGTCTGCTGACTTTCATGTTGCATTCTTCATAAAATCACATCGGCCGACGATCATCGGGCGCAGTTAGTGCCCGGCTTTATTCTGAATGTGTGAAAACTTGTTGAGGAATCCGGTTCATGTGTAACTAAATCTAGTGCGTGCTGTTTTAGCTGACATGATTTCATGGAAATCTGAACAGTATAAAGCATGTGCGATTGATTATTTTTAGCAACGATCAGCCCAACCTGCCGACCATCTGCAGATTTTGTTGTATCATATGAGCCCTGTGTGCTCTTGTATTATGTATTTTTGTGTGTGTATGAGTATATGTATTTATATTGATTATCAGGCCCTATAAAAAAAATGATTAGTTTATCACCCTATCTAGGCTGCACCCTCAGGCTTAATATTTTTATTTTTTATTTTGGTGAAGCCAAATATCACCCTTGGTCCGTTTGCTGATATAATACAAATAATATCTACTATTTATTTAAAAAAAAACAATTAATAATTTTTTTTCCAAAAACAATGAAAAAATTTAATAAAAATTTCAATTTTTTTTTTTTTTCAAAATATATATATTTTTCAATACCATAGAAGACATGCGCGTGAGTGTGATAAACTAATAAAAGTTTTTAATGGGCCTTATGCTGTGTTTTGAGGTGTTCTTTCAATCAGTCATCCTAAATCTTTTGCCACTCCATGGATATTTTATTGTGTTTTGATAAATAAATTAAAATAAAACTCTATATTTTTCAGGTGGAGAATTGGTGTCCAAAGCTTCAAGGAAGAACTAGCAAAGATGTACTTGAATTTCCGAATATGTCAGAGGTCAGTTTGAAAATTTGATTGCTGCTATAGAAATGTACTTCAGGTGCCATTTAAAAGATTGCTTATTTAGGTGCAAAGCATCAGTCTATATTACACTAATTATATTTTTACTGGATGCCTGTCAACCTAAATTTGAGTAATAGTGCCTGACAGATGATCTCTGTTTAACACTGTCTCTTGTACATTAGGGCCTTTTGTATTAACTAAATGCAGAATACAAATCATTTAATGACAGACAGAACTTCATACTGATTGGAAAAGTAATTTAGTGTGTGGATAATTATGTGGTGATTATGATGGGTGAATATGTACTGAAGTAAACTGTAGCTACAGTGGTCTTGCATTCGAATTCCTGTGTTCCATCCTGCCAAGAAATCCTTTCCGATCTTACTCAACCAAAATCTACTCTATTTCCCAAGTTTCAAGTACTGTAGAGTGTTATGCCTTAAACTCAGACGCTGCTGTGCGACGCGGCCCGACACGATTTGTTGTCATGTCAGGTCTGCGTGAGTTAAATACTGACGCGATAGTCTTTGGCATAGACAGTGGCATCGTAGATTACATATTTAATATACTTTACGACGTCCTAGAGACAGTCCCCGACAATGAATTGCGTTGGGCTGTGTCGTATGATCCTGTCTAAGTTGGGCTTTATATGGGACCAAATAATGAGATTCACTATACAGTTAAACTTGCCTAGTCGACTTTGCCAAATAATTGCTAAGTCGATCTTATTTTACATGCCAGGTTTTCCATTAATCGACTATCTGTAAGTCAAATTTTGTCAAACAATTTTTCAATGCCATTTTGGATTCAATTTAAGGAAGTTCATCTGTAGATCACAAATTTAGTCAGGGGGACTATGTACAAAAATAAGGTCCCGTAGGGCTTATGGTGAATAGAAGGTCCAACCTGTTTAGGTATATTGATGTGTTTTCTGTAAGATGGTAAATCGTTTAGTTAAGGCAGGTTTTTAATGAAAAAGGTAAATTATTAATATTCAAGTGCCCTGTTGTGATCGCCAAGAGAAAAAGGCTTCACGCTTGTTTTAATGACTCATAGAAACTTTATTGGTGGCGTCGTTCTGTAAATATTCTTTGTTGGAAGGAGTTTTCAAGTGAGGATTTAAAAAAAAAAAACGTAAAAAAATATCAGTCTCTTGATTTTTTTTTTTTGGTGATGAACAGCAAACAATTTTTCTTAGGCATTGTCATGTTATTCATACTGTACATGGTATCTAAAGAATGTAAATGATTTTGAATGTAATTCAACTTTGTACATGAATGGATAGATATACTCCCTAGAGAATGTAAATTATTATAATATAATTATCTGAAAACAGGCCAGATGTTGCCATCAAATGACTAGAGACTAGGCAAAAAAAAATGGGAGGAAGAAGATAAATAAATAAAAAGTAAATAAAAAAAAAGATAAATAAAATTAAATATATGATTGTTCCATTAAGGATCATTTTTTCGACCACTACAGATGACATCTGTAGGCACTATTTAATATGAGGTTTCCCATTTGAACCTTCTTAAGTAGTTGACAAAGAGGTTGTGTTTCGATCTCTCAACCTCGAGGTCGGGGGTTCGAACCTTCGCTGTGCATTTCTCTTGTGTTCTTGGACAAAGCACTTTACCTATGTTTATCTCTCTCCACCCAGGATTATAAATTGGTACCTGGTGTCTCACTACTTGGGAGGAAAAAGGCAACGTGGAAAGGAACCGGCCACCCTACAACACAATGCCGAGACTTGGTGCAATAGGCTAAAAGCTCATACCCCGAAGTTTAAGTAATGAATACGGGACTACCTGTACCTCTTTTTTTTTTTACCTTTTTTAGGACTTCTGACTCGTTGAGTCATAGAAACCACTGCTTAGATTAGAAGTCCCAGACCCTTTTTTTTTTTTTTTTTTTTTGAGGCAGATAAATAAATGTAATGAACATGCTTTCGTTAACTACAGGCTGATGTTAGGCTTGACAAGAACCAGCTTATGGACATCTTGGACTCATCGGAAAAATTTGAATGGATTCGGACACGGATCAACACTATGTGGGAATCAAAGTGGAGACCAGCCGGAGAAGCCTTCTTAGAGAAATATCACAAGCCAACAAGGTTGCAGAAAAAGGTATTCCACAACTTTGTTCAATCTTTGTTTTTGTTGTTTTAGTTGCAGTATCATCTGTTCTTCATATTTGGTATTCACATAGTTTTAACCAATATTCATTATTGTTAACTCATAGTCATCATTATTTTCTTTATAATTTCAATATCATTGCTAGTGTCATTGTCATCATATTAAGAGAATAATAAAAATGCACCCTTAAAACATCAAAAACGGGCTTAGCTTTTCCCGTTTGGTTATCATTGACGATAAAATATTGAAGATGTGTAAGATTGGTAATTGCAAAATTGTGCTCTCACAGAGCAATAATTTTGAATGTGGGAAAGGGGCATTTTATACTTAGAATTTTTTTTTTGTAAATGTTTATGACACTAAAAGCACAGATTTTTTTTCTTTCTGTTAAAGTAAATAAACTTTAATTTGAATAATTTGTCAGCGACACAACAAATTATATTTATCAATAGTACATGGCTAAATTCCTAATGCCAAACACTTTAACATATTTTTAAGTTTGAATTTTTATATTCCCTAAATAATTATTATTTGTCCTTACTCTAAACAAAATGTGTCCAAGTATCTGGTAACAGGTAATTACTGTACTGTTAGTAACCGTCAGAGCGTAATGATATGGTCATAGCGGCAAGACAGTCTAGTTTACCAAGATCAAAACATGTGCTTATCTGAACGTTCTACAGCTGAATGGATGTTCCCCAAAATTTCACATAGGTCAGACAATTAGCCAAAGAAACTTGACACACAATAAAATATGCATGTTCATTAAAAAAGTAGGAAACAAGGTGTTTTTTTATAATTACCACATTTATTCATCATTCACATCATAATGGCTAATAGATTTCTCTCAAAATTCCCAGACAGAGAAAACAAGTGTAGTGTTCTGTATAACAAGTCAACTGTAATATCGTAATATTATTTTTAGTAGCCCATTATAACTAACGGAACCACTGATATGCAAATGAATGCTAAAAATAAAAATCGGCAGAGGATGCTGAAGATGAATTCTTTTGTATGCTGAAAAGTGCTTGCTGGTATTTTATAATCGTATGTACAGTAGGCCAGTGAAGAATTCTGTTTCTGTACGATCTATTTTACGAAGTTAAGAAACCATTGTTTTGATTAATCAGGGATTAATATACGAATAAACTTTACCTCAGTTTTTAAACCATGGTGAGTTGCTGCATTGTTTACTTGCGAATAAACTAGCTCGCCGTGACTCAATGATTGAAAACCAGGCAGTCCACAGGCAGTGTTTTACTCAATGCTGTAATGCGTGATTGAACATCGGACTCTTCCTAATTAGTTTGGAATAGGCCTATACACATTCATCAAGTTTGGAACTGTTAGTAAAAACATAATGGTTTTAGCAGGAAAAACCTAGTTTGTAGGCCTATAATCATCATTGACTACAGGGGTAAAATGTAGGCAAAAACAAAGTTTGTGTCTGACAACGGAATGCATAAAGTACGTAAAATGAGATTTTCGTTCTTATGAAAAGACTTCGCTGTGCGTGTAAGCAACCTATGCTGGGTATTTTTTATCTTTTTCAAAAACAGACACAAACTTTCAATGCTAATTAACAGGTGAATTAAAGTTAAGAAAAGAAAAATAAATTTGAACAGTGAGCACAGGTAATTTTGGCTTCTGTAAAGTATTATTGTGTTGCAGAAAACAGTAAAATTCAAGTCATTTTTCGTGACAAAATTTTGCTCCCATGGCAAGTAGGCCTACCTTGCCCTGTACTTTGTAGCATCAGCCTAGGCCTACCCTCACCACACTGAGATGCTATGAAAATTCAAACTCTCTGGATTATGAATTTTCTCAATTACGAACACTGTTCAGACAGAGAAGGTACGTAATTGGGAGATCTTACTGTACTTATAAATATAACCAGGTTGTATTTATTTATTTTAAATGTACTATGATACTTTAAAGAAATACAACAAGCAGAAATGATGATACACTATGGTAAATTTAGTAAAATAAATACAATACAATACAAATGTCTTTATTGCAATCATATAAAATATAGATTAAATTTACAAAGTCATCAATAAAAAACATTAAAAAGACCAAGAGAATCGCAAAAACATCAAGAATTAGTTACAAATGTCAAATACCAAATTTAAAGATAAAAATTAAGCAAAAAAACACAAAGAGGACCCACATTAAAAATCCATCAAAAAAATATAACACGATTAAAAATTAACCAAAAAAAAAATTTAAAAAAATTAGATCATCTACCAAGGCTAGCAAAAGCAGAGCAACTGCAAAACAACCAGGAATCTACCAGGGGCCTTCTATGGGGAGGCTGATGCTAGGGCCCACCCAGCCTTCCATGGTGACTACTGTGATGGAGTACAAAGACCACCGACTGAATCACCATTCATAAGATAATCCATGATTTATAATGAACTGTTTAGATCTATTGGTACGCATGTGTGGTATGGAAAATGTTTTATTGTGTCTTAGGTTGTATTTGTGTTCAATTGGTGGCATTTAATTCTAATCCTGCCCTACTGAGTTGCTTTAAAAAGTAAATTCTTGTATTACATTTCTTACATATATAGTCAATATGACTTTACCAAGATAAATTATCTTTGATAATGACACCCCGAAGTTTAGTTTGGTCAACCTTTTCAATTTCAACATTGTTGATAATAAGAGCTGGAAGGTTACTTTTAAACCGTTTGCAACTTATCAACATTTCAACTGTTTTCTTTTCATTGATAACCATGCTATTAATGCAAGTCCATTCATATATGTCATTACACGCTAATTGCATATTTCTGCAATTAAGGGAGGATATTGTTTCGGAAGCTGTTGTCTCATCCATATATTTGACTAGAGGCAAGTTGATCTTAAGGCTGTTTATGAATATCAGAAACAGAATACAACTTAATAAATAATTAGCCTAGTTAATACATTGAAGTAATCAATGAATCTTTGCTAATTATACTTTGAACACCAGTAATTACCATATGAGTAAGATTAACTGGGTGTGTGATAGCTCCTGTCTATGTCTTAACCAACACCCCTATTCTGAAATGGATCCTTCATTTGTTAATGTTATTTCTTCCTACTGATATTTTTTCCTACTGACATTATTTCCTACACCCAATTTGCAGCGTTGGATTATTAGCGGATATCAACAAGCAGTCCGCGTTTAACACCCGTTCAGGCTAGAACTGGAAATGGCTGTTTTCGGATTTATCCTGTGTTAGACTCCACAAAAAAATTCGCCCCGAACACACCCTTAGATCCACTGACCAGAGAATAATTTGCAATGCTTCTCTTTAAGAGAAAGACATTCTTTTATTTCCACAAAATAACCTCATTTTCAAAGTATTACCATGGTATATTAAATATTAATGCTCGAATCTTGCCAACAGTCAAAGGATGATGATGATTGTCATATAAATAAATGATATTTACAATGAAAAAGCACGAAAGGAAATATGATATGTACTAGACACTAATAAAAGCAGACTACAAAATGTCAACCATGTTGTTGCTTTATTGATCCATCAAACCTCCAGTGAATTCATACTGAAATTAATTTCTTAAAGACTTTTGATCAATAAATTGACATTTTCAACATAACTTACTTAAGTTTCATTTACATTAGAAATAGACCTAAGCAATAATTGATTTTGTTCAACTGAAATTAAGAGGAGTTGGAGTAAAGCAATTTCATTGAAGCAAACAGATGCTATTGCTATTCAAATGTCAGTCCAATCCAAATTTTAATGAATGATTAATCAATTCATTACTTGTCATTATTTATATGTACTTTGTACAGAGTATGAATACAAGATACGAACACTTTATTGCAATTATTATAACAAGTACAAGCCAAATCAAATTTTAATAGAGGTGAAATAAAAAAACATAAAAATGGACTAAAAATAGAGAAAAGAAACAAAGGTCATACGTAAACATCATGAAATAAATACAATTCAATTAAAAAATAAGGTGCATTTAGTGTCAATGAATTTAAAACAGTGTGTACTACAATTATCAATTTAATATTAATATTATTATTACTATATAATCATAATTTACTAAAATGTCTTCTCCTAAGTAGCATTATTAACTGCATTACAAAAAGCAGTGACTAGTCAAAAGAGGATTGTTTGCAATACACAGATAAAGTACATGTAATTTCAATGTGCAACTGGCCTTTACCTTAATAGTAGAATAATTTAGGCAATCGATTGAGTGTTGAAATGTTCTAAAACAGGACTGATTTATTATGTTTTCAAACAAAACAAATGTTGAAAGATAGAAATAGATCATTTAAATGGATTGTAAGTTTAAATGGTTTTAAATACACGTTCAGGCACTGTTCTGCACATGCCATCTGACTCAACGTATTAAAATATAATCATTTTTCCAGAACTACAGACTGCTATTAAACAATATAAATTTCTGTTAAACACTTCTGCTAATGAATTGCACAAGGTTAGTATAGTATGTATCATGCAATTAATTTTCCAACCAGTATTTAAATTTATTTTTTTTAAATATAATAATCACACTCTAACCAGTATTTAAATTTATTTTTCAAAATACAATAATAATTTTCTCCTGGTGTACTGCCCACTACCAGAAGGACCCCACTGGAGTCTCCAGACTTAGTGGCTTATCCTTGGTGTATTTCAATACCGAAGGAATTCAGTTCAATAATAATGTCAGTTGTAATATGAGGCTTGCCATGCTAAAATTAGCATCACTGACCAAAAAATGAAAATTGACATTTTAATATTCTTATTCTTCACATTATAAGTTTTAAAAAGATTGGTCATTTACTGAAAAATGACTTACTATTGCCAAAGTTATTTTGTTGTACTTATTTATATTAAGCTAGGCCTATATTTTATTTTATTATATATTATACAATGTATTTTATTTTTTCATTTTCTTTTAACTTTTTTTTTTTTTTTGTCATCTATTTGAATCAAGATTTATTTATAAGTCATACTCTTATGTTCAGGACCCCACAATTAAAGCTTGCTTGCAGTGGGGCAGCTTTTTCACAATAATCTATTTTCATTTCAAATTTATTGTATATATGTGTTTCTGTTTTGTTTTGTGAAATAAATATTACTTGAATTGAAATTGAAAAAGTATTACAGCTTCTCTGTAAGACAGTATACAATACTGCCTCATTCTTGTGTTAATTACTCAGTTCAACTAAAGTAATTCCCCCATGCTTCAACATATAGTCACAGTATGCTGGTTTTGGTTGAAAGACCTTATGAGTACTTTGCTCCCTTAAGAAATTCATGTCGCAGCCAGCAAGCTACCAGGTGCCTGCTCTTGTGGTGAGAATGGAAATGATGATAAAAATGCCTTGCTGAAGAACTTAAATAAATGATTAACCTTGGATTCGAACCCTGAAATTGGATTGGAAGCCTGCAGCTTTACCACAGTTCCACATGCAATGTACCAAAGCCCTTGGCTAAGAGCCATAAATAAAGTATTACATCCATAGAGAGGAATATTAATCTGTTGTTCCAAGGTGTCTAATGGCCTTTTCAGGTAAATTGTAAACTGCTTCTTGGAAATGGTATCAAGATATAAATAGGCTTCTCTGAACTGGCCTTTTCCAAAAAAAAATGATTATTATTATTTATTGTTATTGTTATTATTAATGTTATTGTTATTATTTTATTTTTATTTTATAATAATAATAATAAATTATTATTAATATTAATATCTATTATAATTTATATTTTTATTATTATTCCATTATAATTTTATTGTTCTTGGAAATGGTATCAATATATAAATAGGCTTCTCTGAACTGGCCTTTTCCAAAAAAAAAGATTATTATTATTATTATTAATATTATTATTGTTTTTATTGTTATTATTATTATTGTTATTGTTATTACCCAATAAATTAAACATTTCTTGTCAATTACTGATATCCTGTTCTTCATCTACTTTACTCTATGTTATATTAATAAATGATTACCCATCAGTGGTCTTTCCAGACACAATCTATTTTTGGAATTTGCAACCAAAAGATTTCAAGAACCAGTTTTTAAAACTCATTTATTCAACATTCATTTATATTCCTTTGTCCCATTTTCATTCATTCATTTGTTCATCACCTGATGCTGGATCTGGGTAGGGAGCCCCTTGGGTACAGGGCAAACCCGGAGCCTTTGACATTTTTGACATCATGTTTACATGTTCTGCTGCTTAAAATAAACCCCACTTGGAAATAAAAATTTTTGATGAATATCTAAGCGGCCTTTAAGGTCTGGGGTCCAGGCTTTAGCCAGTAAAAGCTCATAGCTAGGGCCCTGTGCACATCCTGGTTTCGATCCAGATAGGCATTGAAAAATTCATGAGAAAGTCTCAAGTCAAATAAGTCTGGTAATACACAAAATTATGTAGTCAGGTTTCGAGAACACCACTCTACCTTGAGTAAGTAAGTCGTGTGAGTGAGAAGGAAACCCCAAAAAAAAATAAATAAAAATTTTGTATTGATGTAAAAATTTAAGCAAAAAAACTCTATGTTCCATCAAATTTTATGTGATGCTTTTTTTTTTTTTATGAAATTTGATAGTGTAGACAAACTTTAGGGAAAGTAAGTAACATTTTCAATTTCTAAAGCTTGCCATGTAAACATTCTATTGATTTAATATTGCTACATCTACTTTTTTTAATTATTATTGTTATTTAAAATTATTGTTATTACTGTGATAATTATTTTGATCCTAATTTGTGTAATCATTATTCAAATCAATTAATCTCAATCTCAATTTTATTTCACTTGCAATGCATAACAATATTTACAGCAAATACAAATTCGGATTTTTGACATACACACACAAAAAAGAGCGTGAGCTGTTAAAATGATAGCATGTATTTTTTTTTTCTAATAAAAAATTTTAATTTTTAGTGAAAATACAGACACTTCATGAGATTAAAAAAAAATACCTACTGTACAAATAGACAATTCGTAAGCTAATACTACAGTAGGAGTAGCTAACTCAACAGTTGAAGAATAAAGAGAGTAAAATTTCTAAATGTTGTTAATCAATGTCCTTCCATCAATCATGACATTAATATAGCATAGTGAATCTGTTTGGAAAAAGTTGAATGTGCTCATAAACAGCAGTTTTCAATTTCCGCTTAAAAATTACCATAATCGTGATAAATAATTAATTCACTCATCTCGGAAATAATTAATGCTGCTTCAATAATAACAAACAAGCTGGGATTGGTTGACAAGTTGCCAAGGTGATTAGGGATAAAGATTTTCGTCACAGTTTTTTTTTTTTAATATCAAGTACGTAGTTAAAATTCGGTCAAGTGTCCTTAATAGACTATAAAAAATATGGTATACAATTAAGCTCAACCGTGTACAGTATGTTTGGCAATAGTGGTAGATATTAAGTATTATTGCTTATTACCTAAAATAAAAAATCCATTTTCAAGATTACTATAATGTGCAGGTTGAATAGTCTGTTTCTTATTCTGTACTTGTTTAATTATGAAAATCTTCAAAATATGAGACAGAATTTTAATTTTTTTTTAAATATGCTGTTTGTGTTGAATAAACTGAAACAAGGAATACCAGTCTCTTCATCCATGTTTTTATAAGTTGTTGTTTTAGTTGTTAATTATAGGAAGGCCGTAGGCTGGTTTCCTTGCCAATGTAACAGATTCATTAGTAGTACAGTGTCATTGTGGGACAGAAGTTAAAATATTTATTAACATCTGTGTTTTTAGGTTAGTATACTCTTTCTATTAATGTCGTCATCTTTGTAATTGCATATTACCTCCGTCGAGGAAGCTGTATTCACTGTCTGAACAGGATGTAAAATGTAAAGAATGGACTATCATGAAATCTAGTGTAGTTGTAGAGTACATAAGAGACAAAGAAAGATGTGAATACATTTTTGGGTCAATGTTTAAGGGCAGGGTCACAGAAGGTTTTAAAAATTCCATTAATAAGGATTATTGTAACAAATAAATTGATTGCCAGAAAACTAATATTGGAGTGGTACATTGGATTGGTTTTATTCAGTGTAAACACCAAGGATAACCCACAAAAGTCTGAAGAAGACTTATTTCCAGTGGGGTTATTCTGGTGGTGATAGGGCAGTACACCAGGAGACAATCCCCTACGCTTTTCCGAAGAGAGTACTGAGTTCTTTAACGTGCACGTGGGCCATAATACACACAGGACCAACGACTTAAATGTCTCATCCGAAAGACGGTGTGCTATCGTAACTTGTATTTCAGCCATCCAGCTTAAATACAAGGAGAGGCAGCAATGGGAATCGAACCGGGAAACCAAAAGATCTCCACGGTTCAGCATCAAACAGTGGCTACCACCAGTTTAGCCGACTGAGCTAAGCTGCTCTCAAACATAATGGTTTAATGAAGAGGTTAATAAATATTGGGGTAAAATGTCAAAAGTTTTTTTAATTATTGTTATGTTGTTTGTTAATGTTGTTATCATTATCACTCTGCTTATAAATATTTATGGAAGAAATAGCAAACAGATCAAGGCAAGCAAAAGATTACATTCACAGTATTAAACATGAATTGGATTCACAATTTTGTTGGTGGAATGTAGAAACACATAAATAAACTGAAGGTGACAGCAGAACATGGCAATTGATGCAGAAACACATGACTCTAATATTATTATTTTAATAATAATAGTCATAGAGTAATAATTTTAAGTAGACGTACTTGGTTATAACTTTGCTATTAATGTTATTTTATACATATATTATTCATCTCTTATGTTTTCCAGATTCTTATTCACATGGGACTGTTGACGAAGGAATCCGGATTCAAGATAGCGGAGAACGCTTTCCATGGAGGGCCACTGGGCGAGTTGGTCCAGTGGAGTGACATCATCGCATCTCTGTACATCCTAGGACATGACATCACCATCTCCATCTCAACACCTTCTTTAAAAAGGTGAGTTTTGCGAATGCCACACCTGAATGAATTGCCAAATAAAAAAAAAATGGCATTCTCCAAATTTTCGTATCAGAGTAGAATGGGATAGGAGTATTTTATTCATGTTTGTCACACCAGGGTATTGTTATGATCACACTAAATGATAACCCACTAAGATCGAAGGGTTGTTTCCAATGGTGTCCTTGGTTGTGAATTAGGCAGTACGCCAAGAGACGTTAGCTAGGTTTATATGGGATTATAGCCAGATGAAGTAGCTGATCTACTTGCCAAGTTAATTGGATTAAATTCACTAATCGCGTTCGATGTTAAGGTTAGAGCGAGATATTTTGACTACCAGAAATTCGGAAAACACATCATTAGACAGGAAGTACAGTCGCATGGTGGGTAATTACTGTTGATTTTCGCGCGACTAGTTTATGCTAGATCGAGACTATAGGCGTAAGCTAGGCCTAGGTCTCGGCGGTTGATTAGTCTGGCCGAGGAGTCCAGGTGGAGGGTTTACACTGGGTTTTCCCACAAGTATTTCGTTTAGCGCGTGGTAGTGTGGGCATGCCGATTTCGGGTCATCCCTTATTACATTGGCCGACCCCTTGCCCGTCCCACGAATAAAAACGTCTCTCACAGCCTTGTGGTCTGCTCTTAGATTTGACGATACAATTTATCTTCAACTTTTTCAGCGATTTCTGGCTCCCTCCAGATATCTATTAAATCGCATTCCTGCGCATATGTCCAGAGATGGCGTTTCTTTACTGACTTTTCGGCCATCATTTGCAAAATAAGACTTGTTGAAATTAAAGTACACAGATCAGGGAGACTGCGTTAATTCTGAATGGTGTTTATGACAGTAACTAAAAAACGCGCTAACCAGCAAGCATGGAAGGTATTCGTGACCTGTGGCCACCCGCTGCTTAATTGTTTACTGGCTTTAGGCTGGATTAAGAAGTTAGTCGACATAAATTTACTCGATGGGCTTAGTCGAGTTGTGGCCTTCATCTCGCCATACTTGAGCGGTCATACTCAAACTTATGGCGAGAGCTTCTAGCTCATCCACTAAAATTATCTCGCCATAGTTGGATATGAACGGGGAATATCTTAATTCTTTTCTGAAAAAGTGTAAAGCCATGTTGCACACATGGCAAACAGCTTAAACGTCTCATCCGAAAGTCAATGCACTATCACAAATTGTATGTTACAGTAGCTCTCAGCTGAAACAGAGCAAGGGATTGAATTGAACCAGTGATCAAAACCATGCTTCACTAGAAAAAATTATTTTGGGCTATAATATGAAGAAATAACAAATCAACAAATTGATGAAGCCAGACGAAATTCTTTTAGAATGTAGGCCTATCTGTTGCATTATCTTTATCATGTTCATTCTTCCAATAAAGAGTGTTATTAATTTTTGGATCTCAAGCCTTGCGGTTGTGGTTCGAATCTCACTGTGCTCCTTTCACATATTTCTTTAGACAAGTCACATCATCTTTAATTGTCCAGCTGTCTATTCTTCAGTTATTAAGTAGTTCTTTTTTCATGACCAAAGTAGTTAGCCTATAAGTCACATCATCTGTAATTGTGTAGCTCATTAACAACTACAGTAGTAGTAGTAATAGTAGAAGGTGAATAATTTGCAATGCACCTCAAGTCAAGTTGTGGTTCAAATCCCACTGTGCTCATTTCACATCAGTCACTTCGTCATCTATGATTGGCATAGCCTTGTTAATCTAACCTTGAGTATTATATTAGGATTGAAAGATTTGGACTGAAGTTATTACTGATACCTGCATGAATAGGAATATTCCACCTTTGCATTGGGGAGGTGGTTCGTAGCTATGGTGTGTGTATACTGTAGCCAGGGATAATAATTAAAACTGATGGCTCAGCATCTGCTGCTTGGTGGATAACTGTGCTAAACATGATTTTAAAGTATTAAAATAAGTTTTCCAATTTTAGGCTATGTTCACACAAAGCTGGCTTAAGCCTGGCGTAGCGTACGCCTTTGTGTGTGAACTAGGCAGTGGCGTTGTTAACACCACTCACTACGCCACGTCCTTGGCGTTATCAACGCTACCTGCAGACCCCAGATTAGTGAACGCCGTGGAGCTAAAGCCAGTGATGCTTGAGTGATTTTGACCTCAGGTCAAGAGATTGAACAATCACGATTAGTTTTGCAATAAATAAACAAGTCAGCTAGCCTAGTTCTGCTAGAACCGAAAGTGCGCGCAAACAGTTCACGGTGTTTTTCTTCGAGGGAATTTATTTTGAGAGTGAAGGCCTATTGTTTGGTTAAGAAAATCATACTTATCATACAGAACGTCAGCTCCTGCTCGTTCCTCTTGGATTAAATGCCAAAGAAGATCCATCTGCAGTTGCTGACGGCGAAGTTGTCTACAGCGAATTGGCTTGATATACTTGACCAAAACCAAGCAAACAAGCACAGTTTCCGTGTCTAGGCCTAGTACATTATTTAACTCATGAGCTACACTTTCTTCAACAAAAAGAAATAAAAATGGCAAAAGCGAAGACAGCAAAACGTTAGGCAACATAATCGATCGAAACAGCGTGTACAAAAAACCATGAAAGAGGCTGCTGACACACTTCCGTTTTTAACGCCAGGCATTAATAGCGAACACCGTTTGTGTGAAGACCTTGGAATTTTAATCCGTGGATTAGCTTACGCCTTGCATAAGCCACGCTAGCCTTACACTGTGTGTGTGAACATACCCTTAGATGCCTAGGCATTTAAATTGACCTGTCCAAAGTGTCAGGACCTGTCCGAAGTGTCAATCAAACTTAACAACTGACAAGTCAGAACATCGCTATTATGCATTTGTCCTACAAACACACTTCTGTCCTGTTAACCATTGGCATTCTCATGATGATTGTCAGACCCTGTACACCAAAACATGGGGACAACGTAGGTTCTTCTTGAACAATATTACATAGTATAGCGCAAAATATGTTAATTCTAGGAGGTGTTTTAAAGCTTTGAGGCTAAATTCTTTTCCTCATGTTATCTAAAAATTCATAACTCCATAACTGAGGGTCGTATCACATTTTTTTTCTGGAAAATGTTCTCTAAAGACTATTCTTCACCACTATATGTTTGAACAAAAAAAAATGTTTTTGACCTCCGAAATCAAGATGGAATAAGAAGAGCCTATCTAAATACAGTAAGTGTATTCTCTTATATTTATATCATGAATATTAGCCTGCAGGAGCAGAGAAATACACAATCTTCTGAAATTTTTAACTTTTAGAATGTGAATGTTTTCAAAAATTAAATCCCAATTAAATATACAGTTGCTATTTAACATTATGAACAACGCTCAAGCTTAAACATAATAGGCAAGTTTGATATTGGAAAATTCTGAAGGAAGCATTTAGAAGTTTTTATAACCAGATCTTAGTACTCACAAATGAATATAATAATCAACTAGACTGAATTATTAAAACGAGCAGAATACTATTATAATGTAATTTTTATTGATAGTGTTATATCAAGTGAGAATTGTGATAATAAACTAAATAAATTCAAAATATCAAAGAAAGGAAAAGGATAACTGAAAAGAGAGGCTAAACCCAATTCACACGTACAAAAATCTTACCAAATGTAACAAAATGTAACCAAAAGTAATATTTTACGGCACGTGTGAAAGTACCTCCGTGTAATATCCTTGTAAAATCTCGGAAACATCAATCAGAATTTCGTAAATAAAAAAGTTCTACCCTTTTACAATACTTCTTTTTTTTTCTTTTTTCGTCTCGCTAATCTTTACCAGCCTCGCTGAGGCTGGTAAAGCTTCCAAGATGTAGCATGGATGGATCTGCGCATGCGCAGGGATTTCAACACAACAACAATCTACTGTGTTTCACGGGGTTCTTTGAATTTTCTTCCTTCTGCAGACGATTCTGATCCACTAGAAATAGATGGCCTAGTTTTTCTCAATGATGAATGAATTACCCTTGTTATTGATGTTAATTAGTAATGGTAGGAGAAGAAGATATACATAAAATGAACGTCGGGATGGTGTTAGTACTATTACTAGTATTATCAAGAGTCGACAGACACGTTGGAAGCTATGCCTAGTTTAGTAGTAGTACAGCAGTTGTTAAGGGCATTGATTGCTTCGAATGTTTACTGTGATGGTGAGTTCAACCGTCCATCTGTGACAGGGGTTCTCAACTAGGCCTAGGCTAGACCTATATCACAGTAGGGGAAAAAATGATTCATTGAATAAACACTGAATAAATTTGACACGACCTTGGCATTACCTTACAGACGCGTGTGAATGCTTTTTATCTCGGTAGGAATAACTTGGGAGATCGCTCGGTTACAATTTATTACTTTTTTAAAAATTTAACTTCGCTTGTGAATCGGGTACAAGTTGTTATGGAAATAAAATGCCACAATTGATTTTTCATAAGCGGTTGACCTTGTATAAGGGAATGTGGTAATTATGAAAAGTACAGCATTCAGTTTTGTCATTGAGAATTATTTATGGTCTAGGACAAAATTTTAAAACAAATTTGCCTCCAAGAAGAAGAAAAGATAATAGTTAATATGGTGCTTGCCATGCAAATGATCAGTCATTTATTGGAATCCACTGCCAAAGTCAAAATGGCCACCTTAAAAATGGTCAAAAATTGAATATTTCAGTATAATTCCACATCTCCTCTATGGAAAATGATAAATTTGGATCTAATCATGTTTTTGGGCTCTCTGAATACAATAAACATAGTTTCAAAAAGCTAGGATGGCAGCCATTTTGATATTTTTAAGGTGGCCATCTTGAATTTCAATATGGCTGCCATTTTAAGTTTTCAAAGCCTGTCTCATTGGATTTAGTAACCCTAATAACATATGGTTAGACACTAGATTTGCCCTTTTCCATTGGATATAAATATAGTTATGAGCCAATATCTGAAAATGTGTTCCGCCCTTTTTCTGGAGGTTCCCCCTGCTCAATTTTTCATTTATACCCTAATGATGCTTAATC